GTTTCTATGGATGGCCGAGCGTGGCTTTTAACGCTGCTTCACCGAGGCGGCCGCTAACGGGATTAATCCCGCTTGGACTTCACGCACGGAACTTCAGAGCAGAGCTGAACTACAAACAGCAGAAAACTATGCCGAGATCAGGTGTTTGCAAGTCAAAGGCAGGTGTTGCGAGTGGCAGGGGCTGATTTCTGGCCCCTGGGTTGACGTACAACGAACGTTCCGGGGTGTTGTTGGCCTGGGCTATGGATGGCCGAGGCTTGCAGAGACTTCCTGCGTTTGTAAGGCCGGGAGCGTTCGGCGTGCTTGGAGCTTGCAACAAAAGTAATAAACGAACACGACATGCTGCATTTTGGGAGTTTCCTGCTGGAAATCTTAAAATGTGGTTATTGAGACAACTTCCAAGTATGGGTATTTAAAAAGAGGCAACTGGTGATGCCAAGCCTGTACAAACCAGGCTTTGTGGCAGCGATGGGAGGGAAGGTGCTGGGGTAGCTATGTAGACTAGGACGTTCTTTTGCCGGACTGTAGTACATACGTGCTAAGTTGGGGTAAAACATGCGATGCAAACTCTATTTTTTGCTTACACCATGAATTTATACTAACGCAGCCACCACTGTCTTTACATGAGTTAAAACTTCCCTGCTCTGCAAAGGATGCTAGATTTTTGGAAAGCTGGGGAGAAGCAATTTATTGAGTGATGGCCAAGCATGTGAAATTCGTTTCTGGTTGTTGATACAGTGTCCATCTACTTTGACTGAAGGGAGCTTGTTCTCCTGCACCTGCAGGAGGTTAAGTTGGTTCCACTTCTCTGGAGCCTGCTTGTTCCCTAAGCATAGCTGGTAGCAGGTGTGTACCACGATATGTGGGTAAAGAAGGCTGCATGGGTTGAGCAATTGCTGGTGAATACAGGTGCCCCAAGGGAAAGTATCCCTTTCAATTTAAGTTTTTGTATGTTTTTAGAAGCTTTCATTCTGTCTTCAGAAGCAGGCAAAGTCCAAGCAAGCTACCTGAAATCCCGTGCCTTGTCATTTTAGAACGAGTAGATGCTGGAGGAGGTGAGCTGGTGCTTAGTGCCTGACCTGTGCTTTGCGCTTCCCCACTGGGAGTTAGGAGCAATGGGAGAGGGAGAAGCCTGAGGAAACACAAAGCAAGAAGAGATGGCATCTGCACCAAAGCCTTTGGAGGCACAGTACCTCCAAAACCGTTGCCATTCACAGAGAGGAGTTATTGTCCTCTGTCTGCAGTACGTACCTGTGTGTAAGCTCCTTTATTTTCTGTAGGCCTTACTGCTTCTGTAAGTGAGCTGGAGTTACTTTTTTTTTGCAAAGAGACGCTGTGAGAAAATGCAGTCATTGCACAAAGCCAAGAGAAGAGGAAGAAAAAGACAGGAATTACTTAGGCTGCCGTTTGCCCTGAGAACAGTTACAATCGGACTATGCAAATAAGGTTTCCAAATCTCTGAGGAGTTGTATCTGCAGTAGCTTTTGCAATAAGAGTTCTGGGGACACATCCTCCTTTTCTGGTTTTAAATGAGAGTTTGAGAGGTGGTTATTTGGCATGGCACATTGTGATAGGTGAGGATGGGACCAGTGACTTCGGACCTCAGTGTCTTTCTTGGGCCTGGGATGGGAAGAAGAGTCCTTGGTTCACAGCCAGGCCAGGTTCAGGTTGGAGATGGTCACGGGATGGCTGCTCAGGGGACTCTGCAGGATGATTATAGCACTTGGTCCATTTCCCGGTTTGCCAGCATCATGTCACAGAAGCAGCTTTGTGTGGATCCTGGTGCATGTTCTTGTTGGCTGGTGACTTTGGGTTAAAGTTGAATGTAAATTCTTGGCTCCTCCTGGAGGCTTTTCCTTTTCATTCTGGCAAGGGGAGGATGGAGGCGCGTTCCCTCTGATGTGCACAGAGTCCTCTAATTTGTGCTTTCAGTCTGGCGTCTTTTATGAAGCGCTCAGGAAGAGGATGTATCGTAGTCAATAGAGTAACTCTGTTTTCTGCAGCATTTTTCTTGTCAGGGAGAGTTAAGCTGCGTTATTACTTTTTTCCAGGGTTCCTCTCTGGCACTGGTAGAGTTAATAGAAGTGGAGTCATTTCAATTCTGTGCTGCTCACTGCTCTGTGTCTTGGAAAAAACCAAATGCTCTGGCAGACCTGCATGCTGTGTCCTGGAAAGCAGGCTGGAGCCCTTGGGGTGCACTTGGTAAAGCTACGTTATGGTGGTGGCTTTGATGAAGAGCCTTCCTTCCGTTGGCCCGAGGAATGTGTGTGCCACACACAGCGTCTCGTTTGCTGCTGCCGAGAGGATGATCTGTCCGCGCCAGAGTGGGACAGCTTTGCAGAAATGCTAGCAGGCTGCTCCCCTGCCTGAAGCTGTGGAAGCTGCTGGGTACAGCGATGGCAGAAAGGGATGCTCCATGCAGCTTTCTGGGCTTGCTGCATTCCAGCCAGCCTAAAGGTCTCAAGCAGCGTTGGACACCCAGTGTGCTAGGAATTATGTGCACAGTGGGCACCCTATTCATCCACAATAGGAAGCAGTCCCTGCCCTGAACAGCTAACGGGCTCGAAAGCAGGAACAGATTCAGGCAAAACGCAAACCCAGAAGTGTGCCAAGCAGTAGGTTTGGCAGCATCGCTCCATTATCTTCTGCCGTTGGACAGAGATGCTTGGCCTGAAGCACTGACGCACATATGTAATTTGCCCCTTCTTTAACTCCGTGTTCATCTCTCTGGGTGTTTCTTCTTAGATCTGCTCTATCTTCAATCTTGACCAGCTAAATGTAGAGAGTTACTGCTGAGTAATACCCGCTTCTTGCTTCGCAGAGTGCAAAGTGTTGTGTCTGCAGTTCGTCCAGCTCTTCTTCGCACGTAGAATAAGAGCCTGGCTCCAGGAAACACAGCATTTGGTGTTGCAGTGCAAAGCCAG